AATAAAATGTTTTCAGGTGAAATTATAATGAGTTTTGAATTTAATTTAATTCATTATTAATAATAATAATTTTATATAATGTTTATTTATTAATTTTATTTTATTTATTTTATCGTATAATGATTTTTAAGATAATTAAATGTTACTTTATTTCGAATTAATTTTTATGAAAGTATTACTGTGTTATTATTTTATGTATCTATATAATTATATTATCAATATTTTTATTTGAAAATATATTGAGTTTTTAAAAAAAGTTTTATTTTTAGGTATTTTATTCTAATAGCGAATGTGTAATGTGTATTTGACTTTACTATGAATGAACAAAAATTATCCTATATAAATAATATTAGAATACCAAATAGTAGGTGAAAATTTCTTTACGATATACACGTGTAAAAAGGGCAAACATAATTCTTCTTAAGGAAACAAAATAGTAATAAAATTGACGTTAATATTCAATTAGTTATTTTTAGATATAATATATGAAGGAACTGATTTTCTGAACTGTGGATTTCACAGGACATATCAATGTCACTTAATGTCACCCTCTTGATGACGACATAACTACTCTAATGAGAAGTGTTTATATTTCCATTATCACATATGTTCCTCGTGTGCCTCGAATTGTCTTTTTTCAGAAAATATTGTCACATTCTTTTCGGAAATTATTTCATTTATCGAATACATTTTATTTCGATTCATTTCTTTATATTTGTATGATTAACATAAAATAATTATAATAGAAGGGGCTTAGTCCCGTATTTTAATAAATAACAAAAATAATAAATCCATTATATTAATATAATATAATAATTAAATTATAATGTAAACAATAAAATAATAATAATAAAATATAATATTAATAATAATAAAAATAAAAGCATCAAAAACTACCCTTTTCATTTACCTTTATGTCTTTGTTGTGGAGAAGCAGTAATAAAAAAAATTTACAAATTTTAATTATTTGAGCAAGAAGCGTTTGTAATTAATTGAAACGCCTCGCTCAAGTAATTATTTCTAAATTTAAACGAACTTTATAGAGGGACATTTCTCACAATATTTGTACTCGAGAGATAAATTTACATTTTCGTTGGCAAAAATATAAATGGAATCAGAATAAAACTTAATACGCAATATACAATGTCGCGTATCTTATTTACGAAAAAGAACATAAATAGAATGAACAGTGAAATTTTATATTTATATAAATACTTCAAAGAAATAAAATTAAAGTAAAAGTTGACAAATGTCAAAAAAGAATGTGAAAGTTAAGCTCAACCTTTGAAAAGACTTAATTGCCTTCAGGGATACATTTTTTTAAAAACTGTAATTGAATATTTAAAGTAAAAACTTCTACTTATTATTTTTATTATTACAAAATATTATACAGCATTATATAATTTTATTACTTTTAACAATTAACTATAGAATAAATTCAATCCTGGTAGATATCGAACCCTCTCTGAAAATACTACTTAAGATTCCGTTACATTAACCTTAGATCCAATTCTACACCTCTTATTAAATATTTTAATTAGTTTCGTACTTTCAAAACTTAGAAATTTTTAATTTTATTTTAAAGAAGAGTTGAATTTCTTTTTCTAAAATTTATACTATAAATTTTTACGCAACAATTAATATTCATTGCTTTCTGTGACGTTAAAAATGAAAATATTAATATTATTCATTCCAATTAAGATGATTGAAATTCGATTTATTTAAAAAGGAATCTTAATTTTTTCGAATAAAATGTTCGAAAAATTGTACAACTTTTTAGAAAAGTACGAGTTTGCATAATAATCAAGAACTGCTCTTTCTATTTTGTTAAATTGGTATTTTCAGGGAAACTGTACGTTTCATTGCCTGTTGCTTCTTCCGCCTCTCTCTCACTCTCCCTCACTTACTCTCAACTTCGTAACGTCACTTCAAGATTAAGTTTGTAGTTCGCAAAGGCTTTTAAAGCCGAACTTCGGAAATGGAATACTCATTTCCAGTTTAAGTTCCTAGACGTTTACAATGAAATGTCAGACAATTTACTGCAACTTTCATTAAAAGCAGTGCTCTTAGATTATGTGACTTTCTAATAAAAAAAAGGCCATATCACATATTAAAGAAAGGTTCAAAAAATTAACCTTTAAAGAAGTAACAAAACTTTAAAGAAACAGTATTTTTTAAATTCGATTCTTAATATTTAAAATAAGAAAATAATTAGTTTTCAATCATTAAAAATAACGGATCTATAATATGGCGGACAAAAATTTTTTAAAGTCCCCATGTCCAATTAACTATAATAATTTGAATGTTCTTTCATTCATTCACTTTTTCTGTCCCTCACACTCTAAAGTTGTCTTTTTTTATACTTTTGTTTTTTGTTAACTTTATATAGATTCTATATTATATTATTACTAGCAAATGTTACGCGCGCGGAACATTATTTTCAAATATAAATTTTTTAAATAATTTCATAATCAAAATTTAAAAAATTCACTTATTAAGTAAAAAATTAATTATTATTGTTCATATTTTCAAAAATTTTTTTTTTAATTTCACGAAAGAATTCAATTATTTTCTAAAATTTTAATAAATCCTTCTAAACAATTCAACTATTTTTATAAATAGTAAAATTTTTCGCAAGAATTCAATTATTTTCAATTCACTTTTAATAAAATTCTTCTTCATAAAATTTAATTGCTTTCAAAATTTTTATTTAAAATTATTAAAGATACTCCATTAGTTTAAAAAAAAATTCAAAGAAATTCTTCAAAAGAATTTAATTAGGATTTTTAAAAATTTTAATAGAATTCTTCGCGAGAATTCAGTTATTTTCCTAAATAATAAAATTCTTTGAAGGAATTCTATTATCATCAAATTTTTTGATAAAATTCTTTGCAACAATTCGATGATTTTTAATACATTAATTTTAAAATTGAAAATATTTGAAAAGAAAAAGTATAAAAAAGTTAAGAAACAAAAAGCAAACAACAACTAACTTCAAACTACGAACAGATTACCGGAACATGTACTTTATTATTATTAATTAATTAATGTTATAATTATTTTTATTTTATAATTAATTCAAAATTGTAATGACAAATAGAAATCATCAGAATTTTTTTCCCTTCTTTTTATTAAAAGACTAAAATTTTGTTAAATATTATGTTTTGTCAAATTGAAATTATGCAGATTTCTGTTCTTTACTTTTAAGCAAAATTAGAAAATTGTTAAGCAACTGTGATTAAGAAATAGACAATTTATATTTATTTTGCATTATTTTTGTTTCGAATCACAATTTTTTTAACAAAATTATTATTTTGTTTTAGAAAAAGAAGAAAAATATTTGCACAATTCCTATTTTTAATCTTATTTTTGGAACAGAATTTTCCACATGAATTAAGACATTCAAAACTTTTCAAATTCAAACCTTTTTTAAATTAAACAACTTATAAAATTATTCTTAGAAAACATGAAGATATCGATTGCTCCGAGTCGAGGACTTGGAGTAATCGATTTCTTCATGTTGCTAGTTATTATTTAAAGTTCAATATCAAATCTATTTCATTAAACAATTCGCGTAAATAAATTTTCCAAACGAATAAATAAATTAAAAGAAAGCATTTTGCAAAATTAGATTTAAATTGAACGCGTGAAGGCGACTCATTCCTTTCTTTTGCAATAGCGCAACGTAAAAGAGAAGAAAAAAAATAGAAGATATTCAAGATTCTTTTTTTAACGTCAAAGTGAGAGAGAGAGAAAGAGAGACAAACTAATTACAGAGACCGGATGCTATAACCTGTATTTGACGCTTATCACTATGCTGTCAACTAATGGAGAATATAAAACACTGTAATTCGATCAAGAGTTCGTTAATTAATTTAACTCTGGTCAAGAAAAAGGGAATCGAATAAAAAAATTATCATCTGTATCAGAGTGAAAAAACCACATATAACAACCCACACACACAAACAAACACATACACACATGTGTGATTGTGAATATAGAAAATCGATTAATCAATAAACCGGTAAATTGTACGGAAATCAATTAAATTACAATGGTAATAAACTTGAGGGTAGGCGCATCGTTGCACTTCCTGACAATTTTTTATCAGAGAACACGAAAATAAATTCAAAAGAGAACTCTACAATTACTGATAGAAAATGATCTCAAATCTAGTATACCGATGGATGACAAATTCAATTATTACTTAAGATATTATTATACTAATTTTTTCTACCCAATGAACAATTTTTCCAAAAATTATTATTTCCAACAAACATTTTACTTCACAGCCAATAATTTTAAGGGGATCGACCAGTAAAATAACCCATTGAAATTTACCTTGCTAACGAACGTCAATTTTTTTTCTAGCACTTTTTATAATAAAAAAATATTCAGTATTAATGAAATTAAAAATTGATTTTGTTTAGTTTAGAATTTTGATTGTTTGGAAAAATAAAATTTTATTAAATTCCAACAAACCGGGCAAATGAATATTTGATGGGGTAGAATTTTTTACATTAAAATGATGAACTCACTAAAATTCTGTTAAACGGGATTTGTACTAAATTAAAATTCGATTTGATTAAATTTCTTTTTAATGAAGAGATTGTTAATTAAAAATTTTACCAATTGGTACTGAAAAAATAATAGTAATTTCCTTATATAAGCGATTGTAGCGAAGAGATTAATACGTTAGTTTATAAATGCGTAGGTCGTAGCTTCGATTCTCCCTAGCGTCAATTCTAAATATTTCATATGTCAGCGACATTATAATTGTACCTTCCTACACGGTTTATATTCAATTGAAATTATTTGATTACAATTTTTTAAAACATTGGAATATTTCATTAGGAATTTAAATTGTAATTAAATTTAAAGTATATAATTAAATATATTCTATATATTGGGCATCCTATAAATTTTATAAAATATACAATTAATAAATAAAATATATAAAAAAAGGAAAAAATATTAAAAATTAAATCCATTTGTTTCAGCGAAATAGAAGTATCAAAGTAAAGGGACGCATGATGATTCTAATCGGAGTAATAGCAACGACCACCCTGATCAGTTTTACACGTTGTACGCCACTTTCCTACACAACATTTCGAAGAAGAGATCTACCAGTTTTGGATCGTCCCGAACTAGTGCTTCTTTTCGACACACGAGATTCAATATTAGAGGTATGAATTATTGCAAAATGACTTTTATAAAAAAAATTAAAATTTTTAAAAATCATGTTGTCGACTTTGAACTCTATCTGCAGTTTACTGGGGTGCTAAAGTACCCCAAACTTGATTCGTTACTAAACCGTTTGTATTTATTCAAAAATAAATTTAATACAATGCATATTCTTCATTTTTAACAAGAAAATAACGTTTTTATTTTTTGACATAAGAAAATGTAGTCAAAAAATTTTTAAAATATCCAAACATTTCTATAAATAATAAATTTGAATTTTAACTCTGGTACTGAAATTTCCATGTTAGGATGTCTAAGGTTGAAATCAAAATAACTTAAAGAGGTAGAAGATACCGTATTTTATATAGTAAAGACTCTATAAACTCCCAGTAAAAATGATGACAAACGTCAGTGTAGCTTGGAAAAAAGGTAAAAATTATAGCACTTGACGTAAAATGCTCGCACATATTTCATTTCATCGGGTATTGGCTCTATAAAGTTAAAATATCTTTTTTCATGAAGCAATGCAGACAATTGAAAAAGGAACGAGAGAATTGTAAATGGATCTTTGAATCCTACGCCTGATACATAAACGACATCATTCCATCTTATATTGCCGCTATTCTCTTCAACTCTTAAAGAAAGTGCAACGCTTACTAAATTAAAAAAAGAAACTTAATTAATGACTATTTCATTTCATTCCTTACTGCAACTCATCAAATTAATTACAATTATATTCTAAAAGCTCCAAAATTGATTATCCTTTCATTATTAAAATAATTTTCCACTCATTTTAGTTTCCGTAAGCTATTATCTTATTTTCGCCTACTGTTAATTTCAAATCGTATTTTTAATTTTCATAATTTTTATCTTGCACTATATTATCCTGGTCTACATAAAATGCTAATTGTTCTTTTAAATTCCTGAAAGAATGTTTTACTTTGTTCTCTATTTAAAATTGTTAGTTAATTAAAATTCTTTCTTTACTTTGTTAAAAATGTTCAATTTATCACAGATAAAATTAGACAATTTATTGCTTATTGACGACTGTTATATATAATCACTCTGACGACAACCTTTCTTTTTTTTCGATAAATAAAATGTTTTAAATTTACCCTTACTTACATTCAATAACATCTTAGATAAATGATATTGATCAGACCATAAAAAAAATACTGCAAGTTGATTTTACTTCATTTACATTTCAAGGAAGAGATGGATATTGTTGTGAAGGGTAAATTAAAGTAACAACCTGAACAAGATATTAATTTCTCTCGAATAAAATTCTACAGTAGAATAGCTTTAATGAAATCAGGTCATACTATTGGAAAATAATTCTTGCATAAAATCTGCAAATACAATTTGTTATCCAACTTTCCATTGTATTACCAGCTTTAAATTGAAAAATCATTAATCTCAAAAATTTTTCAATTCAGAGTAGTCATATTACCGTATTCTTTTTTTTTAGTTCAAATTATACCCGTGGGCATTTAGATTATTAAAATCGTAATCGAGGGAGTACTAACTTTTTATGAAACCATAGTCATAATTAAAATATCTTCATTAGAACCAGTGAAAAGAATAATCAATACTAGTATTGCTTCTATATATTTAGAAGGAGAAATGAGATTTTTTGTCCCTTATTTAATAAAGTTATCAAAACTACAAAAATATTAATAAAACTACTATTTTAAAAAATCTGTTTTATATTTCAAAAATAGAAGACATAAAAGTTTTTTAACCTTTATATCCATGTCTGTAATTCCATCTATTTTTAGACGAAATTCGTTTTTTCAATTTCCAACAACAATTCGTCTATTTGACTATTCATTTCAAATTCTCCAAAAAGGATACGTTTACATTATTGTTCTTTGAAATAAAAGAAAAAAATCAATTATTTTTGCTCTTTTCAAAAATAGGAAAATCCAATGAATATTCGAAACTTTTACACTTTTATAAAGTACTGAGCAATAAAAAGAACACTTTCCTTTCATTTTCATCAAATTAAAGCTATTATCGCTTAGGAAAAAGAGCTCACAAAAGCATTCTAGAGTACTTAATTTTCTTCTTTGAATAATATAAATTTCAATTTTAATTTGAAAGAGCGCATGTTAAAAAAATTCTTTGGGACTTTTTTTCTCTTTAAAAAGTATGATCTGATTTTACTGTTTTTAATAAATTACCATTAAAAAAAAGCTTAATACTATTTTTAAATAAAAATCCATTCAGAGAAAAACTTAAAATCTAATTTTCATACCGAACTCAAATGTATATGAAGTAAATATTTTGATATTGAAATTAATCGCGATATCAATTCGAAATTAATATATTTTCTCGGAATTTTATTATGAGTAAATATTAATATAATCAAAATCAAAAACTAATAAACAAAACTGGCTTTCAAAATAGAGTGGGGAAAGAAAATAAATACCTACACAATTTCCTCGCCTATTTTATACATAAATGTGAAATATGTAATTGAAACAATAAACAAAAATTTAGCCAACAAAAAGTATCATTTACAATTTAAGAATATAATTTTCTATTATATAAATAATGTTATAATTTTTGTATAACTTTGTCCTTGTCCTTGTCTTAACTGAGAATGAATCTGTAATTCATGTTCTGTGTGGTTGTTTAGCGTGTAAGCTAATCTGAATAAATTAGTCACTCCTAGACTAATTCTACTGTTCTACATTGTTCGATTTTTATTTTATTTGTCTTTTCAACTTTTCTGATTATTTTTTTTTGTGTGACACATACATACCTTGGTGTAGATAGTAGTTGGCAAACTTCATCCTTAGAATTGTACAAACGGAAACGTGGAAAAAATTAAGCAGCATCTGAAACATTCACGAATAACTTTAATATACCTTTTAAAGTTTAAAAATGTTTGTAGTGTGAAGCAAGTTATCGATTCCCTAAGTAAAAATGATATCATTAACTATAGACCAATAACAATTATAAATGCTTGTTCTAATATTTTCGAGAATATCATTTATCACTTTACTATTTAGTAACTAATTTGAAAAATTGGAAAAAAGCATGAGTTTGTGAATGGCAGGTCAGTTAATAGGATCTTGTATCTGTTCGTTGAGGAGCTGATCTCAAAGCTAAAAAGTAAGACTTTTCAAAAGCTTTCGACAAGGTTGTATGGTCAATAAAGCATTTAAAATTCTTAAACCTTGACTTGGCTTATTAATTGGGTTTTAACTATTGTTAACTAATTATCGCAAAGTTGCGTAATTAATATTTTTAGTCAACTTATTTCAATTGAAATTAAAGTCTAACAAAAAAATAACAGGAATTTGATTATGAATTCTTCCATAAAATTCGACACACATCCCATCTTAATAGAAAATGAATATGTGGCATTTCCTTTACATAAAGTGTCAGAACAGTCAACCATTGTGTAAAAAATCACTTTTAATTTAAATTATTCAACTTTTTCAATTTCTTTACATCACCACGCTGGTTTAATAATAATACTGACAATAGCAAGCAACAGCTGATACTGTCAATTAATCTCCCAAGATCTTTAAATAGTTACCCACACTTTATTATAACCACTATTTCTTATCTAATAATTTTATTCTTCGTTTACATAAACAAAAATGTTTTATACATCCTTTATTAAATATCATGCAACAAATCCGATTTAAAATCTTGCAATTGGACTGCTATCTCCTGTCCGAATTTGGCAGTGAGGATCCCCATTGCAAAATTTTTCGGAGTTCTTAATTTGACGAAATTGTGTGCAATTAAGTGTACATACGAAGTTCATTGGCACAATCTTGCATTAGAAAGAAAGAAAACATAATTATAAATAGATTGTAATAATATTATGCCTCGAATACGTAATGGTCTTTTTGTTTGTCCTACATATATTTTGACACAGTTACATTCAAATTTATAAACGCAATCATATTGATTAAGTCCCTCATGCTGATCCCTCTCCTAAAATAAAATTATCAAATTTTGAATCCTAGAGAAACGAGTAAATATGCAAATTAGATAGTGAGAGAGATATTCTTATGTCATTTACGTAGGAGAGAAAGAAACATATGCGTTAGATTTGAACAAAGATATTCTTATGACTTTTTCATTTTTACGGACATCCAAGCCTGTATTTTCAAAGTTGACCTTCATTAAGGAAGTTTTTCTTTTTTATAAGGGTTCTGTTCATTAAATCTGAGACAAATTTTAACGCGAGTATTGTATCGTTTATTCTCAGGTCGTCAGGTTAAAAATTTTTTTTAAAATTAAATTAAAATTTTTTACATAAAAGAGACAATATACGTAGAAGTATTCATACTTTTTCAAGTATAAAATTTCTTAAAATTTCGTCTCAAAAATGTCAATACTAGTGCAATAGAGATCCAAGTGTCAATTACTATTGCCAATAATATGCTGTATCTCGGACCAGTAATGATACATGAATAGTAAAATTGTTGAATATATGGTAACAAATTAAAATTGATAGTAATAGGACGTAGCTTCGTCCAGTATTGTTTCAATATTAATTGCAAAGTTGTTTATTCTCTCATAACAAAAGTATATCCGTAGAATATATCCTGACATAATATTTCTTTAAATTTTTAACTATTTATTGTAAATTTTTTCAATATAAAAATACAAAACAATTTTTTTTTCACAAAAATAATGTCATTAACTGTTACGTCCTAATAAACGTGACAGACAATTATTTTAAAATATTTAATAATTAGTATTTTGAGCCTGGACTCTCGTCCAATAGCTTGGGAATACTATCGAATTGAATTTAGTTATAATGTTGGTACTAGGAATTACTGAATTTAAAGGGAAATAAAGTTGTGTTAGCAATAGCAATATGAAGCATTAACCACCTTTGGATTCATAGGTTACAAATTAAGGATTGATAAAAATTAAAGAAATAATTATCGAAGATAATTATTCTTCGGAATTAGAAAATAGTATGAGAGAGATTTTGAATATAACAATTGCCCCAGTAGTGCAAAGGTAAATTCAGAATTAAGTTTGATGATAAAAAGTTGAATTTAAAAAATCTTTAATAAATTTTAACTCACTTTTTATTCAATATATAAGTAATTAATTGAATTTTGTTAATTAGCAATTGGTTATTTATAATTATTTTAGTGTAGTCTCTTGAATATTTATATTTTACAAGTTTTTAATGTTAATAAAAGATTATTATTATTAATTACCATACCATAACTACATTTTTAATTTGCTTTCTGAACAAGCAAAAGTGCATTGGTTTTAACATGAAGTAAAAAAACCACTCATGTTAAAATAAAAAACTATTTATCCAAATGTATTCGTTTATTATTTTTCAATAATATTTGAATAAAGTCTACTCCAACATTAAAATGATTTTTAAATTTCTGTCCATACAGAATGAAATGTTTGGCTCGGGTAATGATCCAAGATCAACGGTGACACGCAGCAAGAGAATTGGATCATTATCAATAAATAATTCCGTGGATGTATTGAGGCAACGAGTATTACTGGAATTGGCGCGCAGAAAGGCAATGCAAGATCAATATCAAATTGATGAGAATAGACGAATGATGCAAACAATTGGAAAACGTTCGAGTTCCGATTTTGTGACAAGATATCCTAACAGTGCAAACAATAAGCCAAGCAATAGTGGAATTTATGTAATTGAAGACAGGCCAAACGATCGAGATCCAAATAAATCAAATGTTCGAATTTCAGACAGAACACACGTCTGGCTAGATGGGAATGATCACGATCAGGATCAAGAGCAAAGGGTAAATTCTTTTCTTTCTATACTGTATATTTTCAAATTGATTGCTTTTAATTAAAAGTTCTTGTCAATTAAAAATCAACAAATTCCATTATATAGAAGACAACAAACTTTACGAATGAAGAGCAAAAAATATTACCTCTTCTCTGTAAGGGATGTTTTACTTTTATACTTGATTCACACAAAAAAATCAAACAAACTGTTCAAATTAACAAAATATTTTCAAATTCATAGACTCGAACTTTTTCACCATTTTTTATTTTTGTCATTTATTTTTTATTCCATTAATTTTCACCTATTTTGCAATTTTTCAAATATTTTTAATCTAAGTTTATCGAAATTTTAAGTAATCCAAATTTAAATTAAAACAAAATTTAATTTTTGTTTTTCATTTTTATTTCAGTAACAAATTTATGAAAATAATTATATTGAAAAAAGAATATTTCATTCATTTAAACGTACAAAATTTTTGAAACATAATTTCCAATTAATTTTATTTTTAATAAAGCCTCATTCAATTTATTTGAATTTCAAATGAAAAAAATGTTTAATATTTCTTTATTCAATTATTAAAAATTTTAATCGATAGGATAAATTTCCAACTATTCTACCTAATTTAATGAACATCAAATTCAATCGTTCTAAATTATTCAGTTTATTTAATTTCTAATTGCAGAATATTTTAATGATTGCAAATTTTCTATTGACTAAAATTCTTGAACATTCTTAACTTTTTTATTGAATCAACTCCAAGCTAAACCTACATCAGAATCATAATTTTTCTAAATTTTAATTGATTTAAATTTCAAATGATGAAAAGTTTTAGATTTATCTTAATTGAAAATGATTTAAATTCCAAATAATTTAAAATTAAAATACAACATTGAAGAAACGTTTTGACTACATTGAAAAAAACTTTATTTGGTTTAAATAATCGATTACTTGTCAATTATATCAAATAAACATTTTTCTCTTAATTATAGCTTTTTTAATTTAGATTTTTTTGTCTGCAATTTTTCTAAATATTGAATCTAAATTTTTTGTTACAACACTATCATTGTTTTAAAATTCCAATAAATTTTACTACATTTAAAGAAAATTGCAATAAAAATTAGTAAAATTTACTTCGAACTTGGTATAATTTTCTCAAAAAATAGTAAAATTTCATATTAAAAATTGTTATTTCCAGAATAAATTTTATAATATCCGAAGAAAATTTGAATAAAAATGAGTAAAATATCCCGTGTAGAAATTTCCCCATTTGTCCCTATCTCTAGTAGGGACCTCGCTAGATTCTGACTAGAATCTCTAGTCTAGAAAAACTAGTCGGGCTTCAATCAAATTCTAGTTAGATAATTCAGACTGGAAAAAACTCACTAGGACCTTATCGATTTCAAACTAGACAAACTAGTGTACAAGTATGACATACATAAATTATCTTTCTATATATATAAATAATTCAGATTAATAGATAGAAAAACTTACTAGCATTATTTATTAAAAAATTTTGCATATTATTTAATTATTTAATTTTTTAACATTTTTTAAACAAAATTTTAAATATTGTAGAATATTTTTACAAAAAATTCCAATAAAGCAATTTTATTAAATAAAAATCTTTTATTTAATATGTAAATTAAAAGAATAAAACATAAATAAATATTAATTATGTGGGTATAACTAATTTTTATTACCTAAATATTGTAATATTATTCGTAAAAATAATTTTTTTTTAAAAAGATATGTATGTGCAATTATACTTTAAAATGTTTTTCACAATTAATACAAGTATTTAATAATAATTAAAAAGATGCTATAATATTATAATTACAATAATAAATTGAATAATATAATTATAATAATTATAGTAAATATAAAAAGCACTGCAATTAGTGATGTTTAATTTTTCAATAATGTCATAATTAATTATTATTAACTATCATTAGGAATGCAGAGTTAAATAAGAGTGATGAATAATAACTCCCTAAAATTCAAAATATTATGAATTAATTATATCTATAACGTTATTGAAAAATTAAACATAACTAATTTATTACATTACTTTTTATATTTTTATATTTACTATAATTGTTTTAATAAATAATAATAATAATAAATAATATAATAATAAATAATATATTACAATATTTAGTTAATAAAAATTAATTATATCCACATAATTAATATTTATTTATGGTTTATTCTTTTTTAATTTACTTAATAAATAAAAGACTTTGTTTAAATAATTAAAAAATTAAGTAATCAAATAATATGCAAACTTTTTTAATAAATAATGCTTGTAAGAATCATCTAACTAGAATTAGATTGGAACCCGACTAGTTTTTCTCGACTAGAGATTCTAGTCAGAATCTAGCGAGAGCCCTACTAGAGATAGGGACAAATGGCGGAATTTCCAAACGGGATGTACTTTAAGCGGAAGTCCATCCAACCTATCATGGCCGAGAGGTATGTGTATCCGTCTGGTGTCCCCAAGGTCCAAGGTTCGAACCCTCATAGGCACGAGATTTTTCGTGTGCAACAATCATTAATAATGTTAATATGAATGGAGAATTCAATTATAAATAAGTTAAGTTGAAAAATAATAATTTTTAAAACCGGTTGAAGTGAACTAGAACTTCTAGTCGGGGCCCTATCAACTAGAGCGTGACAAAATCGACTAGAACCCCACCAGTTTCTCTAGTTGGAGCCCTTTTTCAAATGGGGTAAACTGGTGAGGTCCCCACTAGAACCCGACCACCATTTCTACACGGGATACTTTCAATTTAGACAAATTTTTTAAGGGAACTGGACAAGTTAACAAAAATTGCAAACAGTTTGGGTTTTACTTTATAAATAGTAAAAGTTACTTTATATTTGTTACTTTTCATAATTAAAATTTCTAAGTTTAAAAACTCTGAGAAAATGATGCAAAAATATTTTTGAGTTTCTAAAAACTAAAAAACTGTTTTCTTCATCATAATTAAAATTTATATATCACAGGGATCACAGTGATTTTTTTATGTTTTTTTCATATTGGGTAAAAAAGGGGATTTTATTTTTCAAAAAGGGAATTCAGTTTTAAAAAAAGGGAAATTTTTGAATTAAGTTTCCGCAGTCTGTAACATTCTTTAGACTTTTAATCAAAATTTTTATTTCAACACTACTTTTGTTTTGAAATTATATGAATTTTACGACATACGAAGTAAATTTCAGAAAAAAAATTAGTAAAACTAATTTGGGACTTGGAAAAACTTTTTTTTTTAGAATAACTTTTACTATTTTCAAAGGCAATTATTTTTATAAAAATCGGAAAAATTGATTTCAAAAATAGTAAAATTTACTCTAAAAGTAAGAATATTTAATAATTGTAATGTCCGAGGAAAATTTGAATAATTTTTTTTAAAAAATTGTCATTAAAAATAGTAAATTTTGCTATTAAAAATCGATATTTCCATAGTAAATTTTATAATATCCGTATAGTAAATTTTATTAAAAATTAGTAAATTATACTTTGAATTTAGTAAAAATTATTTTGAAATTAATACAATTTGTGAAAAATTCTAAGCAATTTGGATTTTTCTTAGAAGAAAAAGTTATTTTATATTTGTTTACATTTTACGAAAAAATTTGTAATTTTAAAGACTGAGGAATTATTAATAATTTGATGTCAATTTTCAAAAATTCAAAATGTAAAATTTTTGCGAAAAAACAATAATTGTTCATTGAAACTACGACAAATACGAAAATCTTTCATTAAAAAGTCAAATATACATTTTGTAAATTAGGACTACAGTATAGCTCAGATTATTTTGCCACTTGCATATATATATATAATCACAGGACATTTTGTGGGATTAATAAATTTGTTAATACTGCAGTATTAGCGAAACATTTGCACATATCATTTGAATATGCTGATTATATAATATAAAAATGAAAATATAAAAATAAATTACTAGAGGTGTGCAAAAAGCTCGAAACCCGAAGCTCGAGCGGGTATTTTCGAGCTTTTCATTTTTCGAGCCGAGCCGAGCCGAGCCTATTCAGTTCGAGCTCGAGCCGAACTCGGGCCGAGCCGAGCTTTATAAAAAGCTCGAATAATTTCGGGTACTCGAATTTTTCGGGTACCCGAAACTTTCGGGTACTCGAAATTTTCGAGTACTCGATTTGATTCGAGCCCTTGAGAAAATCCAAAATTTTCTACATTAATTTTTAATTAAATTTTTTTTTTCAAAAAAAAAATTTTTTTAATTTAAAAGCTCGAATTAAATCGAGTACTCGAAAATTTCGGTTACCCGAATTCATTCGAGTACCCGAAATATTCGAGTACTCGAGTGAATTCGGGTACCCGAATGTTTCGGGTACTCGAAAATTTCGGGTACCCGATACATCGAGCCCGGCTCGGGCTCGGCTCGGCTCGACTCGAAAAAATTGCGGCCCGGCTCGGCTCGGCTTTTCGAGCTTTTTGCACACCTCTATAAATTACAAAAAAATAAAAAATTTCAACAATTTTTATGTGATTGAAAATCATTTTTGTTGCTAACAAGATTTAAAAAAAGAATAGTTTATAATAACAATTTACTACTTATTATTATCAATCTCTTAATTTTGATATTTAATAATTTTCAATATATTTAATGAACTTCGAAGAAAACTACCTAAGAAAAAAATCACTTTAAGGTTATGTTTTGTGTTATTTTGACCACTTTCCATCCTAATTAAAAGTTTCCGTTTAATTGTATAAAATTAAAATCAGTTTTTATTAACTATTTTAGATGTAATAAAGACCTAAACATCAGTGGTTTATATTGTGAGCTGATCCCCTTTGTGAATTTTTATTTCAAAAAATACAAACATAACCTAAAATTTTTTTGCTTTTTAAGTACTTTTTCTTTGGAGTGATTAATATATTTATTCTTTTCTATAAAGTTTATTAATAATAAATTTCTTATTTTTCAGGTGCAGACGAATGAAGTTCATCTCTTGTAAGGAACCCTTCTTCAAAAAAGAAAAAACAAAAAAAAGAATCAGGCAGCTTCGCTTTTCCGTCTACGATTTTCCGTTTTTTGCGAAAAAATCGTCGGATTCTTTGCTGCTTAAAACTATTGAATCTTGAAATTTAAGTTTTCCAAAACTGATTTTTCAATTAATTTAAAAAGAAAAAAACAATAAGGAATTTTCGTTACATATCCAAACACAAGCAATCTTACAATTAAAATAACATCATTCTTGAAAATATTTTGCAATTTTGCGAAATAACGAAGCAGTATTATACTATGTGATTTTTTTTCTACAAACTGACGATTTTTGAATATTTTTCTTTCGTAACATTCACCGCTCTTTACTATTTTTTAATTTTTCTTTTTTGTAAATGCGATTATTTTTTTTGAGCTTAACCATCAATATAAAGAAGATAGACGAAGCAGTTTTCTATAATTCTCTAAAACTAGAATTGTCATCACTTTAAAACCGTAGTCAATCTCTTTTTAAAAATATAAAATGTGACTCAATATAAAATCATTGATCTATTCCATTTATTAACAAAAACAAAAAAAAGAGAAAGAAAAATTATTAAAGGATTAAAAAAATGAGTCGACTGACATAATTGGTTCACGAATTAATAATAATTGATGAAATGTATTTATTCATCGCTACAGAATTCTGGAAAATCACTTTTGAAAATTCGCGTCAATGTTCTGAAAAATAATGTACGTACTACTCCAGATACATCGATGTTATTATAGAATTGATAGGACAGAAAGTACGATATTTTCTGTATAAGAAAATTTTTCTCGCAGTGGAGGAAAAACTCGTTTTTAGATGATGTGTGTGAATAATCTAATCGAATAATAGTTTAATATTCACTGTAGATATTTGTACCATACCACTGCTTGTTCTTTTTTAATTTTCCTTTTTTTACCTTTTTTCTAATTAATCAAATTATTTATTTATTTATTAAATATCAATATATTTATTTATTGACGTATGTAGTGTATAGTATAATATTTATTTATATATAGTTGTCAAAGCATTTCTTGTTAAACACAAAATTCATTAGCGACCAATAAATTTCGTTTCGAAAAAGTCTTAATTTCTTTTATTTCTCCTTCCACCTAATATTCAGGGTGACCGCTTTTTTCGCAAATAAAAATTTCCGGTCATGAATTATTTTTCCTGGTCATAAAAAAAATCTCAAAAATTATTTTCATTATTTCAATTCAACTATTTTCTAGAAATTTTAACTAAAATTCTACTCTAATTCTATTATTTTTTTTTTATTTTTTGAGAAAGTTCCTTAAAAATTCAATTATTTTTAAAAAAAAGTTCACATAAAACTAAAATATTTCAAATAAAAAAAAATGTTTCAAAAAACTAACTTATACTGAATTTTTAATTAAAATTTTTTAAAATGCAACTTTTCTAAAACTTTAATTTGAAACTTTTTGAAATTCAATCTATATTAATAATATTAATTTAACATTCTATAAAATATAAAAAAATTACTTATAAATTATTGTAGAAAAACAAATCGATATTAATGCAAAATACGGTTTTTTAAAAATTTATTTTCTAAGAAAAACAGAATCTTATTTATTTCAATGTCTCGTTCTATTTAGAATTAAAAAATTAATTTCTAGAAATTTCGTATAACTTTTGTTCTAATTAGTTCAAATATTTACTAATTCAAATTTAGAGAATAAGTTTTGTGATAATATTATTGACAAAAAAAAATTAATAAATTTATTCATTTTTCACTATTTTTACTTAGAATTCTATTAAATTTTTTGAAAATTTATTAATTTAATTTGTTATATAATTATAATTAATTAATTATAATAAAAAATAATAATAATAATAATTTAATTGTTTTGAAGAATTTTATGGAAATTTTGTCAAAAAAAATTAAATTCTTTTGAGGATTACAATTTAAATTATATTGTAAATAATTAAAGTTTTATAATTGAATTCTTTCAAGAAATTTTATTAAAATTATATTGAAAATAATTTAATTCTTGTAAAGAATTTTATTTATACGTACCTCTGAAAATAATTGAATTCTTACAAATTTTTTCAACGAATTTAATCAAAATTTTATTGAAAATAATTAATTTTTGTGTGAAGAATTTTATAACATTTTTTGAAAATAATTGAATTGTTTAAAAAATTTTATTAAAGTTGAATTTTTAAAAATTTTGTCTCTGAAATTATTCGAATATTAAAGATGATTTTTGAAAATAAAAATTTTTGTAATTTTCATAATTATAATAAAATACATAATTACATAATAAAATAAAAATACACAATTATAATGAGTTAGCCAGTTTTTCTAGTTATTCGTATATTATTTATAAAAATGAAAAAAGCACAACTTTTATAAAATTCACTTATTTTTTGTATTTTTAAATAAAATTATTAGCAAAATTATTTAGAATAATAAAAATAAATTCAATTTCAAATCTGTAAAGTTTAATTATTGGTAGAAATAAAAAAAATTTTTAATTAAATTGAATATTTTCTTTTGATTAAAGGTTGTTGCGTTGATCAATAAAATTCTAAAATTTTCTTATGAATTCCAGAATAATTGAATATTTTTCCAGTACTTTTGATAAAATTCCCTGACTTTTCCCTGAATTCCCTTATGTTCCTGACATGTGACAATCCTGAATATGTATTTTAAATATTTTTAACAAAATAAATCGTTTTTATAAAAGAACATTCATTCTCTTTAGTTGAATATAAGCAAATAATATTTCTATTTTTTCTCACAAAATAGCCAGTGTTTTTATTTTTAAAAAAATTAAAAATTCCTGGTCAAGAAAAAAATTTCCTGTCATTTATTACAACAAATATAATTTTTTTCAGTGTTTACTTACTGAGGAAATATTAAATTCGTCAAAATTTTAGGGACGATTAAGGGGATTCCACATACCGACAATGCAGATCAAAAATGGTTAAAAATCTGCAACGACCGTTTCTTGAAAAATATAAGGAATTATGACCTATAAATTTGTGAAAGTCATTTTTTATTATAAATACATAGGATGAGTATTTTATTTGTTATAATTTTTAAAAAAAAATATATTGTTAGAAAATTAAATATGGTCAGTTTCCAAGAGCCCAAACTGCAACGACCTTTTCTTGAAAACAACAAAACAAAATAATTTTTCCATTTAACAAAGTTAATTTTAATAAAAAATACACATAATAAGATTCATTACATATGAAAACAACAATAAAAAACTTTAATTTATGTAAACTGTTTTGTATAGCAATTTACAACAAGAAGAACACATATGACAGCTTTTAGTAGTTCATAGAACCAAGAGATGGCGCCAAAGGTTCCAAAACTGACCAATTTTGATTATTTTTAGCTTTAAATTAGCAACAATAAAATATAATGTTTTCTTTTCGAGTAAAAATTCATTAGTGATGAAAGACACACAATGAGAGACATTTATTTTGTTCAAATTGATAAGAAAAGTTAATGCTAGTAAATTAAATATCAAGTGCCACCGAACAGCTGTCACATATACACTTTACAAAAAATAAAGTTTTTATTTATTCCTGAATGGCAAATGAGTCTCATCCTCCGTATTTTCCTACAAAATTAAATTTCCCAAATGGAAAAATTATTTTGTTTCGTTGTTTTCGAGAAATGGTCGTTGCAGTTTGAGCTAGTAGTCAAAGATGTGTTACAGGGAAACTGCCCATATTTAACTTTCTAACGATAATTTTTTTCAAATAATTACAACAAATAAAATACTCATCCAGTGTATTCATGATAAAAAATGAGTTTTCCAAATTTATAGGTAATAATATCTTATATTTTCCAAGAAACGGTCGTTGCAGATTTTTAATCATTTTAGATCTGCAATGTCGATAAGTGGGATCCCCTTAAGAAAATGTTGCAATGATTGCAAAACAAGAGAGCAAGAGAAATAGAGAATATCAAAAGGATTTTTTAGGTTAGAATTGAGCACCAGTTTTACCTACCTTAAAATGACATTAATCGATGAAAATCATTAAAATTATTCATCAAATTACAATCGCCAATAAGTATTAAATATATTTAAAGCATAAATTAATGTATAAATAAACGTTTTTATTAAAATATTAACATAATTATGATTTATGAAGAGGAAACAACTTTTCTATTCGTCACTTGTACTTTAAATCGATATGAATCGATAACCGAATCGATATATCGATTATTTTCTCAAGTTGCGCAGAAGGCAAAAATATTGGCGGCAATGCTCAAAATCAGAAAAGTATTAAACTTTAATTTAGCACAAATAAAAGAATATTATAAAAAACTAAGTAAAAGCAACAGCATAGGTGCATAGGAAATTGAGACAAACAATAATTTTTAGTTTAGAATTTGACATCCATTACACCTAAATGACCTTGAAACTTTATTCATCAATGAAAATTATTCATCGAATCATATTTTGCTATAAATACCGAACTTGTTTAAAACATTAATTAACGTGGAAGTAGATTTTTAAAATTATAATATACAATGAAAATTGTATCTTGTATCAGTAATTATCGTAATTATATATAATCAACAGAAAAATGTAAAGACAATTTTTAGGTTAGAATTTAGCACCAGTTTCACTTACCTTGAAATATCACTTATCGATAAAAATTATTCATCAAATTACAATCGTCAACAAAAACTCAACATATTTAATGCATAAATTAAGGTAGAAATTAACTTTTCAATCAGAATATTACAGAAAATAAAACAGAACATCGAGAAGAAGAAAAACAAGTGACGCCGCAAACTTGCGAATGTATGAATGGTGTGAATATTGCTGCATATATCGATAATCGATTGTTTTTCAGCAAACTTCAGTTCTATTTCATTTGTTTGAACCAATAGATAGCTTGTTTTAAAATTTTTTTAAAAACTTACAAAAATACTTTCTAAATTCAATTTGCAATGAAAAATTGGCTTTTATTATTTATTTAATTATTTTATTATTAACTTATTTTCTGTAGAAGACAAACATTATACTATATTTCACAATTTAAAAAAAATTTATAATAATTTACTGATTTGATAATTAATTTTTGAATTATATTTATTATATTTTACAGAATATACACGGAAAAGTTTTTGGGCGAGCAGACGTCTCTCACTCGCCTCCCACAGAAAAGGTTTTCTGCTTTCTCTCTAAAGAGAGCTCTGATGCCCCACAAGAGAGCTCTGACGCCCCACAGTAGGAAAGCAGCAGTCTCTGTGGGTGAAATGAGCTACCAAAATGGGGCTGTCACTTTACCATAGGTACTGAGTAGATAAACAAAGTGAGTTCTACGCGATAGTTCTCAAGGCTGCCGCTAGAGGCGCCACTGGCGCTGCAGTCGGTGAATGGCGCGCGTTTTTGAAATTAGTTCGCGAGGCCGCCACTAGCGCTGCAGTCGGTTATGGCGCGTATATTTGAAATTGTTAAATTTCTACCTAACCCTAATTTCTAGCCTAACCCTTTTTACTAGTGCAATTTGCTATGTGTGAATCCGTGAGTTGGGTATAAATATCTGGAATTCAATGCCAACCCACAGTCGGTATTGCAGATTCCATCATTAACAGTTGATTGAAATGCAGATTCCTACCCTACATTTTAATTCAACCGTCAGAGTAGGGAACTGTTTTTTCGACATGTTTCGACCCTCATCTGTGTTATATTTTACACATGTGTTAGTGCAATTTGTGATGTGTGAATCTGTATATTGGGTATATGTACACACGACAAAGAAATTTACCTGGAACAACCATAAATTTCACTATATTAACGAAAGTTTTAGTTATTTCAGTTAAGACTTTCACCTTATTGCAGTTCCAGTTAAAATTTTATTTCCGTGTACAACACCTGAAATAGATTTCAGATATTCACACCTGTCTCTTTTTAATTAATTATTAATTCATTAATGATTTGTCTTATCTATCCAAATATTTTATTTTAACGAGTCTTGAAAATTTTTTTCTTCAAGACAAGTACATATCAGGATATTTTACTTTAAGAGCTTTCTTATTATATAATCATTATAAAATATACATTACAATTAAATGTAA